CCCCAAGTAGGATTTTCCACAACGAAACTGATTGAAACGATCATGATTGACAAATCAAACGCACTAGCTGCAGTTCTGCAGCTACAAACGCACCAACTGCCTGTGAACAGCGCCATCAACACACAGCAGCATCTTGTCAACAACATCGTGGCCTCCAAACTTGTCTGCAACATCCTATCCGACGGCTGCGTTTCAGCAGTGCTCGTCGTTTGGTGACCAAGCATTACACGATGAAGTAGCAACAGCTCTCCAACAGTTACTGGATGCACAGCTAAACACACAAACTACAAAGTCTTTTTCACAATTTTCACTTTTCTCGTCCTCGATAAGGACAAGCTAACAACGATCAGGACCCACGAAAAGGTGAGAAGTACCTAGATTTTGTTGACTTTTTGTCACATTATGGACGTCCATGGTCACATGTTCTTGATGAAGACCCGGTATTGAACCCACCACAGGTCACTGACTCAGCCGAGAATGGGACTCAGCTTGTGCTAGAGTCAGCTCTAAAAAAAGGTCACAAGTTCAATGCTGCCATTTTGTATGGATTAATTTTATCTGGCCAACTTAAGGTGGCGTTGCAGTGTAAATGCATTTAGTGGAATTTCACTTTTTAAACTTTTTATATAGCAGAAAACGTCCTTGTTCTTGAGTGAAAATTTCAAAATTCTATTGTGAGTAGAACACATAATAACTGGGCTCTCTCTGGAATTTGCTAGGTAATAGTAAATTTACTAATCAAGAAAAAAAAGTATTAGTAAACTTTGTCTGGAAACTGCGGAGCATTTTCCCGTGACCGAGCACAACAGGGAAGAGAGAAGGAGAGGGAGGTGTCCCCTCTGTCGTCCGCCGAAAACAAGAACAGCATGCTAAAAATGGTGCTTGCTGGTGCAACCTGAGCTCTAATTTTGTGTGTAATTTCATGACATCAAATTAGGCAGTCTGCTTCACAAAATGTACCATTTATGATGGTACAACAAAACATCACAACAAAATATGCAATGTAGACACCAGAACCTTTATTTGAATAACTCAGTATTAATTAAACATATTCATAATAAGCTCACATTGTTAACAGTGGGAAAAATAGTCATCATTCAAAAGTTCACTAAGTTCACGGGAAATTTCTCAGAAAAAAATCAAAAAGCTGTATATTATTATGAAGTAATCTCCTGTGCTCATCATGCAAAACCCGCATGTTGACGTTTATGACGACACAAAATGACTATTTATTTTCATCGAAATTTCTGAATTAAAGTGAAAAAGTAACTAAAGTAACTTTCGGTCTTGTAACTCGATCTCAATGCTAAGAATG